GAAACTGCTTGTCTGCAGAGCCCAGCCCAGAGAAAAGATCGCTTTGCTTCAGGAAACGTAGGAACCGTGAAACCATCTCCTGCCCTGTAGTGAGAGGGTCGCTCACCATCACCACCCCGTAGTGAGAGGGTCGCTCAGGTATCAGGGAGGACACGGAGCACCATTCTGGGGCCAGCTCCAGGCTCCGCGCTCAACTTCAATCCCTCAGGCTGTCACAGATGTCATAAGGTTTGGCCCACTGGTGGAATGGCCGGGAAGAAACCACCCTTGTGAACCAAGAGTAGGCATTCAGAGGACCACGGCTTATCTTAAGAGGGAGCGACTCATGTCCCCTGAACAAGTACCAACTGCTGCATGTGGTCCTCACTTGTGACAATATTCCAGGGCCCACTGAGATTAGAACAAAGCACCGCTCTTTAGACCTTTGCCATCAGAAAGCTGTCCATCCCTCTGGCTGGAGCTAATTGGGAGAGTCACACCTTCACTTTTCAGGGGTTCTGTTAGTACAGCAGGCCTATGGGGTTTTGTTGGAGACAACTGGAATCTTACTAAAAAGATTAAAATATCTAGTCACCTTGGCTAGCTTCCACTCTAAATAGACAGTGATATATAGAGCGAGCTGCCTCTCTGTAGTAATGAATCTGGAGAACAATACAAGGATGCATTCCACATATATCATTTCTATCATCCCAGAAAAGTTCCCTTTTAGGCAGTAGTGTGCTGGTTAAATGGCCGCCAACCAGTGCCCCGAAAAAAACAACCTATGCATATATCTCTGTGAGTGTATGTTTAAGTATCAATTTTACCAGTATAAAAGATGTAGGAAACACAATTCACAAAGAATAATAAAATACACAGTACTTTTTACTATAATTCCATATAGTCAATTGGTTCTCAAAGAATGCTTTTGCTGATTTTCCCCAAACTCAGATATCTGTAGCCATCCTATGGTTGCCACATGGCAGTTCTGACATGATGTTGGTGTTTTTGTTTACATGAATGAGTAATGCAAACAGGAAACGCCTCCGTATGTGGAAGCTTCACTTGGATGAATCAGTAGTTTTCATATATGGAAGAGTATTTCCTCGAGACACAACTTTTAATCTGCATTATTAACATTTTTTCCGTTCTTAAGTCTAGATAATCAGCAAAATAATTAACCAAGTCCTAATTTGTAATATTAATATTTGCTGACTTCCAAAGTGTAGAACGTCCTACTGCAGCCCATTTCCGGCCACCGTGGTGATGTCGCTGAAAACAAAGCTGGAAAGAGGCACAGTGGCTCGTTATATCGTATTGCCCCCAGGTGGGTCCAATAGACAGAAATGACCTCTAGGACAAAGATAATAAAATACAGTGAAGTAATTGGGAAGCAGTGAAGTTTGAGTATTTGTTACCTTTGTTTTTAATACAATTTAATTGTCAGTTATAGAATTTTTAATGATTGCAGTGTTTAGCAACCTGAAAATTTCACAGTCGGCTCTCGCGAGCCCGCACACCCCTGTGTGGACACTTGTGCAGACTATTCCATCATATATATACATATATATATACACACACACACATATATGTACATTTATATATATATATGTATATATATATAAACATTTATGAATAAGGAAAAGGTAAAAATACGGAATACTTCAGGGTACAAATCTATTATTTCTTAACATGTCAGGCAAGTAAAGCTTTGACCCAGAGAGGTGACTGGCAGGAGAAAAATTGGCCTATGTGTTCCCATTTTAGGAGCAGGCTGCTACGAGTGCCTGGGATGTCAGAGCAACAGCCATCAAGCAATCAGAAACAGGACCCGACTCCAGCCCCTCAGCGCTTCGAACAAAGGCTCAAACCAGGCTTTTTTCCAAAACCGTTTTTAATTCCAACATCCCTCTTAATGGCTTACTATAGACTAATTTAGCCAGTCGTTGTTGTACTAAAAATAGAAGCTAATGATTTCAGCTAAAAACAAGTAAGCCGGTACCATCAAAGTATGCTTATTATAAGAACCCGATTATCACAGGGCCCATTTGTTTTCTACTTCCTTTTCCCTGCAGAAAGGCTTAATAAGATCCCCACATCGAAAGCAAAAGCATTTCTTTCTCTCCTGGGACCCTCGGCTATTAGGGATGTGTTCTCTAGAGGGTACCCACTTCCCAGAGCTCGGCTGAGATTCAGCTCACGCACGCAGGGGCGATCCCACAAAGGGCACCACCCGCTATGGCCCATCTTATCAGCACCATTGGGCAAATAATGGCAGGCCCAACTGCTGTCTCTTGAGCACCCACGGGTACCCATCACCCAGCTCGGCGCCATACAGCTCAGCACACTTTATACTTCCCAAAGTAAGTGCATTTTGAAAAGAGCCATGATGTTTAAGGCAAAGATCAGATCACAGCCATACCACACAATGGTCCAGCTGAAAGAAATCTAGCAAATAAAAAAAGAAAAAAAATCAAGTTTTCAGGTGCCACTGTTTGAATTAACCAGGAATGCTAGAACGTAAGCACATGAAACTTCAATATACTGATGACATGATTAAATATTTTAACTGGCAACGATTCAAGCAGAATTCAGGTTGCTTGAGCCATCTGATACTCAGATTTAATCCATTTGATGTATGTTCCCTGAAAGCTTATGATGCCTGTTTCTATAAAATGAAAGTTGAGTGTCACCAAAAGCCACCTGGACTGGAGAAGTTACTGAAGAGCCTTCTTACAAAAGAATCCCAATTATTAGGCAATGAGGATGAAATTCCTAGGAATGATCTTTACAAAGCCTTTCTGGGGCATGACCTTGATTAAATGTTTTTAATTGTATAACTTTTAGAAACAATGAAAGAAATGATTCGCTTTTTGTCTTCCTCTGAGGACTGCCCACACTGCTGATTTTAATGTAGGGCACTAGTTTGAGTGTTAACTCACAATTTTCTTTCCCAGCTTATGACATCTCAACGGATTTCCTATTTCCACTTACTGTTTGGAAGCCTGTTCCTAATGCCCTCTTCAGGACTCTGACAGAGGGGGCGTCTTTCAGGTGAGGTTAAGGGTTTAGGTTGAAGTACTGAAGATGCAGTCAGAGGCTGCTGGGTTATGCACCTGTGCACGCGTGTACACACACACACACACACACACACACACACACACACACGTGTCAGTTCTTTCTTATGACCACCAGCTCTAAATTCTGCCCTGCAGCTATAGCCCCTTACCCCAACCCTGCCCAGCTCCAGAATGGAAGAGAGAACACAGCAGAGCTTCGAGGACTGCAGACCCAGGTGGCTGCCTACACTTGGCGGCTGTGGGTCTCTCTGCTGCCCCCTCTCAGTGGTGTGGGCTCACCTTCGTGGTGTGTCAATATGTTTTAGATGAACACAATGGCATCGGATTGAGCAAACGCTCTCTCTTGCATGCCTTAAGTTGGGGTTTCTTGAAATGAAATACCCATTTATGTAAATGGATTAGCTGAGGGAAAAGAAATGCAGCTATTGTATTCTGAGACTCATCCCACCAAATCAGTGGATTTTCCCCTAAGAAGAAGAAAACCTATTCTAAGAGAGCAGCTGAACATGTAAATGACATAAATTTAGGATTGTTATTAAATGTACCTTCTGGAACGCTTAGTTTGGGCAACGTGGAGGAGAAAACCCATTTTCTCTTCCTACCTATGTAACCATCGTCTAAATAATTTCAGCCATAAGGGAAAATTTAATGGAATCCTAGAAAAATGTTATGTTCTATGCATGAGATTACTTGAGCAAGGATATATACTCCAAGGAAAAGTCGTGGATTTTTACCCTTTAGTCATCACTGACACACTGCTGTTATACCTTTAAAGGGCTTTTAACAAGTTTCATTTCTCCTAATGGGAAGCAAATTTTCTTTGAGTGCAAAATTTTCTTTTAATTTTAGAAAGGTAAGTAGTTCCAGAATACATAGTCTTAAGAATTCCTTCTTTCTGTGCTGTACGTCCAGGGACCTGGGCCTTACGTAACCCTGGCAAGCAAAACTGCCTCATCATCGCAGCTCCTGCAGGTTTTCTGTAGAAGTTGATTCATCACTGAAAGCCAGGTCTACACATAAGTGCAGCTTGAAGAAACTGCCAGGAGAGTATCGCTAATTACCAGGGCAAACGTGTATTTCAAAGTTGACAAACAGGATAACAATGCTCAAAAACTATGAGCCCTAAAAAGAGCAACTGCTGATTTTGTCCTACCAAATGCTACTCTTGCATATGACCCTTACCCATCTTGGGCTAATAACAGTCCAAGGTAACACTTCTTAGAACAACAAACGCCACGGGCGGTGATCCCAATAAATCCCATTTGCCTCTAGCTACACAGGCCAGTCTGGTCCCGACTCAGAATCAAGGCTATTCCTCCAGACAGCCCAGTCATACTGTTAATTTGGATGTATCCTTAGCAAACGAGGGGCTGCAGATACCCTGGCAAGAGCTCCTGAATTGGAGTTTTCTGCAACGTGTCCATAATGATCTATAGTCGACGCTAAAGCAGCTGGAGTAAGGCAGGCCCTCAGGACATTTCCTGAAGGTGGAAGAATGGCCACACCACTAACGCAGAGTATTCACTTCACCTGGGACACTCACTCAAAGTCGGCCTTGAACCGAATCCTCAAAAAGCTGACGGAAACAGGTGAGGAAAATTCTAAAGAACTACCTATGCCTTGTGCCTTTCTCTGGAAACACAATCTACTAATAGGAAAACCAATTTGAAAAAACATGTAGCTACTACTCAGATTTCAGAGTTATTATCAGTGTGGGCAAACTGTTAACTGACATGGATGGCATGTTTCTTTACTTGTATTACAAAGTAAATTTTTATTTAATATTTTTATTATTAACTAAGTTGGATTAGTTTTAACAGAGAGCATAAATCAAACTGGTTAAAACATTAATGATGTCATAATATGTATTGATTTAGTAAATCCTGAATATAGAAGATCTATGACTCCTCTAATACTTCCACTTTATGAACTGGCTTTTTAAAAAAAAAAATCAAAGAAATGCTGTTTTGAAGAACAAAGTTTTAGGGCAACAAGGAAAGACAAAGTAATCATTACGAATTCATTGTGGATCCATCAGCAATTTTTTAATCCATTTAAATTCAAGGATAGAAGATCAAATTCCGATCCTACATTACGTCTATATTTTTTTAGAACAACTTTTCACTCACAAATTCAACGTTACAATGGCCTTAAAAATATCCCCAGGAAAAAACGGACATGAAATACAATATGATGAATAGTTGTTGCATTAGGGTATTTTTCTTTTCTCTATTTTTCAAATTTCCTATAGTGTGTTATATAATTTCTGTAAGAAAACATTATAAATTACGAAAGAATTCAAAGTTAACAAAACCCAGTTGACTTGATAAAATAATTCTTCAAACAAATGTGTGCAAAGGAGACATTCAACCCAGATAAAGAAGATGCTGATGGAAAGGCTGCCTGGGGTCCTGGGAGGAGCTTGAGAGACGAGAGACGCGGCCCATCAGGGCGGCACCGCTGTCCTTGGAGACAGGGAGCAGCAGGGCCCCCTTCCCTGTGGCACAAAGATTCCCACCAAGGCACGATGACGAACGCTGGATTTCTACACGTTTATTAGCCTTGTGTGCCTGGCGGATCTCAGGGCACTTTTGGAGTCTGCCTTGATTTGCTTTTATGGTGAGGAAAAGTGAGATACACACACAAGCACTAAAATGACCACTAAAATGGTAACATCACTGGCAAACACAGCCATTGTAGGTGACCGCGCGGTCTGCAACCCACAGGCTTAGGGAAGGGCAGGTACATCTCTTCTATATTTCACTTACTCAATTCTGTTCTCTTAAAAAAACAACTAGATGCACGAGACTGTAAACAGATGTCATTCACATTGACAGCCCACAGAGGGGACTTGCAATATCCTTGCAGGAAGTTTTTTTGGGCAATAAAACCAAAATCTGTATTTTAAAAATGTGTGCGTCTCGTAAATTTGTAAAACTCTTTTTTTAAATAGCCCAGCGGCCATTCCAAACTAGTAACTTTACCCAGAGAGAGGGACTATAAATGCTTCATGTGTTGGTATATAAAAATAGAAAACCCTCCGTAAGGATTTCAGAGTCCGTTCCTCAAGGAATCACACGATGTGTACCCAGAGGCCGTATATATACACTCATGTAACTTCCTTCTTTGATCTCCAAATACATCCTCCTCCATGTCCTCGTGTCTGGAGGTTGGGCATTTGCCTAATCCCGTGGGGTCCTCTGGTGGGTGTCACAGCTGCTGGTTGGTAAAGAAGGATTTAGTCTCCCTGCAGACGGGATTGACACAGAGTGGACAGCTCAGAATCAACTGCTTGGAGCACAGCTCGTTTGACTGGATGTGTGAGTGCACCAAGTCAGCCAGCGCCTGGAAGAAAAGCGACAAGGAGCAAAAATCCATCAGAAGCAAAAAGTCTGCCGTCTCCCCATGCATTTCCCCCTCCCCTCTGCCCAGATAATCATTAAGGTTTGGGGTTTCTTTTAATCTGAATTATAAATCCTTTGAACCAAATTCTTTAATATCCTCCTTTCCCGAGAAGCGCCGCTTAGAGGAAACTTAAAATAGAGATTTGAGAAAATTAAATCCTCTTACCCCACCTGCTCAACCTTGTCTCTGAAAGGTAGGTTTTAAATTAGACATAGTTATAGGTGGGTAGAAATCAGAAAATTGGGGCTTTCGAGAGGAAAACAGGAGTGAGATGAGAGTATAAGGAATTCGATTTTATTTTTGTAATTAATTGGAACTCAAAATGTTCTAATATGTGAGAAAACCAATATTCTGTAAGAGTTTCTCAGAGGATTACTTTCCGATATGTTCTACTAAAATGGTTGTAACACTATAGATACCTTTGAGAACAATGGATTTCCATTAAGAGACTCTGCTCTTCTGATGTTTTCAACTCCGCACTGAGTCAAATGAGAAAAGGGAGAAAAAACACGTACACATTTTATTTTCCCTTTTGTTTTTAAAGAAACTGACTGCTACAAAAACAAACAAACATATAAATAAACACACACAGATATACACATATACAACTCAAAGTCTTACTTCAAAAAGAGTTCCCAGGGCCGGCCGAGTGGCTCAGTTGGTTAAGAGCGCGCACTCTGAGCTACAGGGTCGCCGGTTCGATTCTCACATGGTCCAGTGAGCTGCACCCCAGCTGAGCTGTCGCTGAGCTGCCAACAGGTGGCAGGATGGCTCAGCTGGTGAGAGCATGTGCTCCTAACAAGGTTGCCAGTTCAACTCCCACATGGGATGGTGGGCTACACCCACCTACAACTAAAATTGAACACAGCACCTTGAGCTGAGCAGCTGTGAGCTGCCCACGGGCAGCTGGATGGCAACCGGATTTGGAGCTGAGCTAGCTGAGCCCTCCACAACTAAGATTGAAGGACAACAACTTGGCTGTTCCCCTTCCCCAGTTCCCCAATAAAATCTTTAAAAATAATAATAATAATGAAATAAATTGTCACTAGATGGTTTTCTTTATTCTCTATATGGATTAATTTATTAGTCACTGATAATACATTTGATTACTAAGAAATGACCTCAGTTTAGTAATATGAATGAGTGTGAATTATCATTCAATACAAACAAAAACTAGTTTTCTAAACACACTGGTATGAACTATATTTGCACTTAAGTCTTTTTAGCAGGCTCACAATTAGTCAAGGTCAAGGTGAGATACAGAAGGCATTATTAAATGAAATCCCTAGACCACCCTGCAAACCCATTGGAGCCAATTACAACGTTCCCTTAAGTTCTTTATCAGAACTACTGACAAGTAATTTAGGCCCCCTCTAACTTCATCAGCGCTTGCTTGATGACCAGCACATACACACAAAAACCAGTGGGGTTGGGTGCTGGCTGAAGCTCTCGCTCAGCCCTCTCCACCCTGCCCTGCACCTGCCACCCAGTCCCAGGGAGGATGAAGTACCCTTCCAGGCCAGGCCTCCATCAGTCACACACAGGACAAGCAGGGCCAGGAGCTCTGGCAGAAGATGATGGGGGAAGGGCTTCTTGGGTCCCACAATTCCCACAGAAACAATGCTATAAATCGGACTCAGGCTTCAGGCCGGCCCTCAGAAGCTATGAGATGGGCGAACAGTAGTTTTTCTCTATTCTGAATGACAGTTCACATCCATCTTACATTATTTGTTATTTCAATAATCAGATTGATCACAACCCAGCAGCAAACAGCTAATTGAGTGCATAAAAAGGTGGTCAAGGAAATTACAACACACGCTGCTTCAGTATTCACTCCATGCTCTTCTCTTAAATGACCATGACTCCTATATGCATCAGAAACCCTATGAGAAGCAGTGTCATAACCTCAAATAAAGGGCACTGTTAAGGAATTACAGACAATTTTTTCCTCCAAATTGGTGAGAAGCACAATTCTGTTTTCTTGAGGAAATATAGTTTTTGTTACTTTCAGGTTGTACAGTAACTCAAACTAAACTAAAAAAAAAAAATGACGCTGCCCACAGTGGGCCACCTGGCTTCAGAAAGACACAAAAGTGCTTCCCCACCACTGACATGGAATTGGCTGATGCTCAGATTATTACTCAGATTAAGTATTATTCAGTACGCAGAGGATGCGGTGCATGCAAACATATACACCAAACAATATTTCTGACTGATACAATTAGACCACTACAGAGAACATTTCCCTTTAAAACAAATCACAGTGGGAATAGGCAGCCAGACGGCAGCATTTACCTCATTAGCCAGAACCTGAGAGTACTCGATATCCAGTTCGTACAGGGTTTCAATGTGGTCACTGGTGAACGCTATTGGCACCAGGAGAATATTCTTCCAGCCCCTCTCACAAAGCCCTTTGATAGTCTCGTCTGTCTGAGGACCCAGCCAGGGCATTGGACCCACCTATGAGAAAGGAGGATGAATGCATACAGGGATCCACTTCTCCTGCTGTGTCCACGGCACACCACGGCCCACTGCCACCTCCCTTAAGAGTGAGGGTCATGTCTTACATCGCCTTTAATGGGTTTTGGTATTTCCACACTAAAGTTTGACTCCTTCTAGGAGTTGGCAGGATGTAAATAACAATTTCTGTCATTACAACGGAAAATAATATACTAAGTCAATGGAACTCAACCAGTCACGTGATTTCCTCTTCCATCTTGCTTGCAGAGTTCTGACCGTGGTGAGTAATCAGGTTACACAACATTCTGTCTATATGAAAGAGCTCAGTGTCATCGTTTTATAACTAAGTCCTAAAATCGACGTCCTCCAAAGAGCTGGCTGCCTGCGAACGTGTGGAAGCCACCTACCTTGGACTGCCAGACAAGTCGGTAGGGGTTGGAGTAACGCAGCTTCTCCATGACTCTCTGGACAGTGGCGCCCACCTCCTGAGGATAGGGGTCCCCTCTGTTGACCACCTGCAGCAGAGACACATGGGTGTACAGTCGCCCACACTGTGGAATATTCTGAGAACCTCCAACTGCACGGCGAAATGACGTGAGCCCTGGACCCCTTCTGTCCTCTGCACTAATGGCAATGGTCTGAGCTCCATCACTGAATTTCCTTGGATCCATTTCTTCATTGGCCAAAGGACAACACTGCACTTGAGCATCTATCTCTAAGGCCCTAAGAATGTCAAATTCTGTGTTCCATGTTATTCAGGCGATAGTGATAATGCACAAGTCAATAATAAATACATGGTGGTGTAGAAAGACTGAGGGAAATATAAAGCTACCATCAGAACAGCACAGAAATAATTGCCACAGGCAAGCTCCACCAATGGGTGCCAAAATTAGTGGGCAAAAGCCTGAGAAACAAGACATTTGCATAGTCTGGGAGAATCTCCCCTAAGTTATTTTTAATTACAAAGAGAAAAAGAGTAACTATACAATGGATAAATCCAGCAGATATCACCTCCAACAAAATCACATGACCAAAGATCACAACGCCAGCAGTAAGTCATATGGCCATCATGTACCCCTGCCATGATGCACCGAGAAGGACAGATCACCCCTGGGTACTCTTCCCTATAACACAGAACCTCAGTCTAGTGGTGAGAAAATACCAGATACCTCCAAACGGAGGCGCATGCTACGAAACAACTGACATTCTACAAAATCACTCTTCAAAAATACCAACGTCATGAAAACAAGGACAGTGTGAGGGGCTGTCACAGACTGGAGCAGACTGAAGAGAAACGACAGCTAAATGTGATGTGGGGTCCTGGACTGGATCCTGGGGCAGAAAAAGGACAACAGTGGAAGGAGCGGTGAACTCCGAGTAGAGCCTGCCCTCTAGTTAGCAGCCTTGCACCACCGTTAGTTGTTGGTTCTGATCACTCAACTATGGTTACGAGATGTCGACACTGAGTGAAGCTACGTGGAGGAGATGTAGCCACTCTCTGTCTAGTCTTGCAAATTTTCTGTTAAGTCTAAAATTCAAGTAAGTTTTTAAAAAGTCGTGAAAAGGGGGGAGGAAGTCGTTAGAAGCAAATGTAGGGGAAAAGAAGAGCTTGCTAGACCCGCTTTCTTCCTTGACAATCCCACGCTGTCCCCGACCCCTTCCTTGTCCTCCTCCTCAGGACTTCCTGGCATTCCTCAGTCCCACACAGAACCCTTGGGCAGCAAAAAAAAAAAACACAAAAAAACCCACCAAACCAAACCTGGAAGCAGCATGCTCAATCCCGGAGGGAAAAAAGGGAAGCGAGGCCGAGGGTGAGAGAAGAGAAGGCAGCACCTGGAAACATTCATGTATAAAAATGTGTTTCCTCCTCTCCCAGTTCAAGAGCTTCCCTTCTGGCACTTCAGACATGGCCTCATCACACACAGGACAGTTATAAATAGGATGAGGGGGGAGAAGGAAGATGGACATGTGAAGAGGATTTGCATAATTCAGGAAAAGAGAAGGTGAACCTGTTCAAATAAAACAGGCAGGCTTCCAGAGGAGAGAAATTCATCTCCAGAGCCACATACTGCTGAAATGGCTTAGTTGAGATGTCAGAGTGGAAAAGCTGCAAAGGGCTCGACCCTGGTGACCACCAGGTGGCAGTAAAGGCCAATTAGAAGGGTGCCCCAGACCTTCAAGTTAACTCCATTAATCCTGGTGTTAAAACCTTAATAGCACCTTATGAAAATGTAATTCCCCTCCTCTTCAGCTTTGAAAGCAACGTCTGCAGGACACAATGCTACTTCTCAGCTCATAAAGCTGGCTGCTTACTCCAGGCCCTTCCACATATCACACAGCACGCTAGCTTGATCATTCTCGTTCCTAAAAATATAATAGCTAGGGCACAGATGCAGTGTTTTGATGAACAGCCAGTGTAATATGATAAACTAAGGAGCAACCAATCACAACTTGATACACTCTATAGTCACTTGGCCAAAGTGCGGTCCTTAGTCTTAGCGAGTTAAAAACGGCCATCGTTTCCTGGAATTCAAACAGCCCCATCAAGTTTGGAGGACAAAAGAACGGAATTGAGATCGTGCAGTCTGAAGGAGGTCCTACGATTCAACCCACTGAAACCTGTCTTCTTTTAACTGTCCCACTTATTAAAACTATTTTAGATATGAATATATCTTTGTTACAATTTTTATATTATAAATTATAAATATTGGGTTGTCAGAAAAGTCATGACATATTTTTTCTATGTTTTTTGTTGCAAAAAGGCATCATGACTTTTCTGACAACCCAATACTATAATTTGAATGAGTTACTATCAGGTTTCAAGAAGCAGGTCGAGTTAAATGAGTGCCACGTTAAGTCTGGGATTTCAGAATTCATCCTTGCACTGGGCTGAAGACATCATGGAAGCCGGGTCCAGGTTACACATTTAGAAATCCCCTACCACAAGGTCATCTGACAAAGCGCTCTTACTTACGGACATTGGCAGTGAGTGAGCGGAAAAAAGGATGACCACCTCGCTTTTCTTCTCCGGTGGAAAATGGTCCAATTCTTTCAGAATGTGGTCTGCAAAGCACTGTGGGAATACCCACCAAAGGGGGACCAGGAGGAAATGGGGAGAAAGAAATGGAAGGAAAAGACGGTGTTTTTAACATGAGAGCTACACCAAAAATCTCAGAGCAACCCTCAAAAATCGGACCTCTCTTTTTAAAAAAACTGCAAACAGTACAGTCTCTCTTGCTTTGGTTCATCATCAGAATGGCTCATAACGGTTTCAGGGGCCTAGGGAATTTGATGGGAAACTTCTAAAGCTCGCTAATGGCTCACTGAAAACGAACGCTCTGGATGTGCTTCCCCGCGGGAGAAACAGGGCACACTTCCAGATGGAAAGGAAACACAGATGGGAAGGAGAAGTTGTTTTAAGACCTCTGATTTGCTCGCTGAGCAGGAAAACAGCTTACAGGGTCTTTCTAAATCTCCTTAGTTTGGCTTTCAGGCACATCGCATTAAAATACATTAGACAGAACTAGTACAGGAATACGAAAATATCTATTTTTATGACCTTTCCCTTCTGAACCCGGTATCCTCGCTGAGTCAATCTTCATAAAACAGATGAGAAGTTGTACAACTCTCATTAAACTCACAGAGGAGAGAAAGAAGCGGCCGACTTGGGGCCCATTCAGTCCCATCTGGGGAACCTGGGGGAGAACGCAGGCTCCGCCTCCTCCCCCAAACCTCTGTCCACCAGACCAGTTAATTCCCTTCGTCTCGTTGGCACTTTCTGATTCACATCAATAGGTGCTGAAATACCAGCTCTGAAGAGGCATGCTTTCATCTTACACTTTAATCATTCTTTGTCATTTCACTTATAAAGCAAATGCTACAAAGGACACTAACGGGCCAATGGACACAATTCTAATATGAACATAGATTAGATAAATGAATCAATGTTCAATATTCTGAGGTTGAATGTTGCATCATGGTTATGGAAGAAAACATCCCTGCTATTTAGGGGTCAAGGGTGACATATATCATATATGTGAAACTTATTCAGGAGGGTTACGTATATGTAGACACATACATACACACAGAGATAAAGAATAATAATATGAATCTAGGAAAAGAATATAGAGTTCAGGGTTTCGTATATTATTCTTAGTCTTGTAACTTTTCTGCATATTTGAAATTATTTCCAAATAAAAAGGTTTTTAAAACATTATAAAGGACAATTTACCAGAACCATGTAAATTTGTACTTGTTGGTATTTGGATGCTATCAGTGGTTAATAGAATAGGATGAGCAAATTATTCCCCAGTAAATATTGAGATAGTATTCATCTTTCCAGAGCCCTCAAAATGTGGTAAACAAAGGTCTAAGGCACAATACGGTGCGGAGAGAGTTAGTTCCCTTTTCAAAATGTGTAATTTACTTACAGAGGAAATGTGATAGGATTAGACACAAACAAAAGCAGTATTTTCTGGTGGTCTCTGCAGTGTTTGGAAATGAAGGATCCTCGGAGAGGATTATTTTTGCACAAAAGCCTAGATAAGCAGGCCCCTTGCAAAGTTTACCTAGGAGCCTGGAATATCCCTTCACTCCAATTATCCATTATCCCAACAGCTTGAGAACAGTAGTAAAACGACTATTTTGAATAACTACTACCTACAATAAGTAGAAATATAGATTTAAAATATTCATGGTTTCAGTTTTTAACTATATTTTTAGTTTTAGCTTAGTTTGGGTCTTTTTCTATTTCTGCTAGATATCAACTCTTCTCATGTAATCGACATCATATTAAGAACAAAACCTATCTATATATTTTTGTTTCCGAAAAATGTTAGTATCTTTCCTTTTCTCATCTTGCAAAACTGCAAGTACACACACAATGTGTTAGGGCTTACAACAGAGCCTAAGCCATGGTCCAAAGCGAGGAGCCGTGGGCCAGCAGGAGTGCTGCTTACAGCATCTAAAATCCATCTGTGGTATTTTCTACGCAATCCCTGAGCAGAATGAAAGAGGCAGGCGGCTCTCAGAGCCTTCAATCACACCATCGAGGAGGGCAGATAAATGCCTCTACAATTCCCTTTCATTTTATGAACGGAGACTTCCTCAGTTAAGAGACCTTTCTATCTTCCAGCTTCCCCCCTTTTCAAAGGGCTGAATTTTAATGCAAATCTAATTACTCACTGGATCAGGGCAGGCAGATGCTGTGCAGATCCTCGGTTCTCTGCAACCACATGTCAGGGCTGACCTGAAACACCCCTCGCTTCCCATCAACGGCCTCCAAGAGCAGGGGCTCCAGGCGGCACAGACTGGACCCAGCCGCACAGCAAACAAGCGCGCGCGCGCGCGCGTGTGTGTGTGTGTGTGTGGGGGGGCACTGAGACCCAAAGTACACCCATCCCTAGGGGAGGGCGCCTCCTTTTCACTCTTTACTCGAAACTGGATTCAGCCTAAGGGTTAACCCTTGACATCACCTACGTGCCTAAGGAACCTAGTCAGCTCCGGAGAGCTGCCCTGCTTTTAACGTCGAGCACCATCTAGTGGTTGCAGATTTTAAGTGACCTTGGGCGTTTAAAAAAAGGTGTTATGCTATTTTTTTTTAAATTGGTGTTTAGGTCTTTTTTTAAAAAAAAAAAGGTGTTAAGGTATTTTGCCAGTCAGAAAATGTCCAAGGAATGAAACACGAACTGGATGAAATCTAAATCTTAATATTTCTCCTACCTAAACTAACTTTCACCGACAGAACAAAACTATATTTGCATGATTCAGGGTAATTACCATTAGCGCTCTTCATATTCAAAAGGCAAAAAAGAAAAAAACACCAATTCAAAGCTATTGGCTTTAGAACTGTAGTTTTAACGGATTCTCCTAAGATCAAGCATCTATTAATATAAATATTATAAATATAAGTTATATAGGAGAAATTGGAAATGTCATACTATATGAAACTTTCTCAGTGGAAATGTTAAATTTATTTTCATGTCTCAGAACATGTAGATATGTTACCTTTACATTGTTAAAGTCTTTTGGCATTTTAAAGGATTTAGAAAAATAAAGGATTTATTTGTCCGTCATTCAATCTATGAATGTAACTTAGCAGAAACACCTTGCATAATCTTTAACCTTCTGGTCATTGGGAAACACAAAACTCAAAATAAAATTCTGTTATGGTTTGTGACTAACAGTATTAATCTGAAGAAAGAAAAAAGTCTAACCTTTCATCTTTAAATTTATGGTCTCTTGTCATAGTAAATCAAGACTCGAACACTGTTTTTAAATCCCCAGCACACAGTTTAAGCAAGAGCACAGTGAGGCTCAGAGGCACCCCCTGGAAACCAGGCAGGGACGGAAGCTGGGCTGACAGGGGCTTACCTGAATGAGAAGGGGGTGTGTGGGCCACCTGTCAATTGTGCTCCATTTCATCACAGGCTTCTTTCCCACCTTGTTATAGTATCTGTAAATGGCGTTCAAGCTGCTGCCTGAAATATACAGGGGGCCACTTAGGAGACGCATGTTGATTATGGTGAAAATAAAAAACAGACTAGTAAAGGCAGTAATTATAAGTTCCAAATAGGTAACTGCTTCTATACTGAGTCAGTCTAATTACAAGCATTTCAATGCTCTAAAATGCATATAGATTTAACTACCCTGCAAATGAAGGTCACTAAAAAGCAATCAATTTCAACAGCCTTTCAAACACTACTGCAGTCATTTCTGGTGAGAAACACGATGGCGGTGGATTTATGAAATATAAGCAGTCATTATTGGCAAGGACCAAGTCCTACGATTGAAAGCATGTTAAAATTGTTTCCATTACGAAGGTATTCAACCCCATTACAAAAAATATAGGGGTGGGAAAGAAAGGAAAAAAGAAACCAGCTATTATCCCAGGGTGCTAATACAGTCATTGTTTTATTTTAGCATAGTTCTTTTCAATTATTTTTCTTTATAGCTGTTTTGTTTTACAAAGCTGCAATTTCAGTATATATGCAATTTTGTATCCTGAGTATTTTGGGCATTATGAGGTGAATGTTTCCCATGTTACAATAAAAGCTTCAGAGCCATCCTTTCAAATGGCTTGTTGATAAAAAGAGTAGCTTATTGAGGTTTCTATGAGCACTGTATTTTTATCTGCTTCTACAAAATTATCATCATTCCCTAGAATAAGTTAGATGGATATCAAAACCTTATAGGAAATCTAACAAAACTTGTCCTTCTCAGCAAGAGATGAAAATTCAAAGCCTAAAGGAAAGTAAATGGTACCAACCCAGTGCAACTTGATCTTCGCCTAGGGGAGAGGGCACTGGTCAAGCCTTAATCCTAAAAACCAATCCTAACACAGGGCCTCTTCCTCAGTCTTAATGTAGAACGAAAGTTCCAAAACGTCTCCATGCTTCCTACCACCAACCCACTGGTTCCTCTAACTATGAGAATTATTCATCATTTAGGTTTCCAAATTAAAATCTAGTCAGGACAGAGCATATTTAAATCAAATGTAGAACTCCTAGGCTAAGATTCAACTTTCAAAAACTATATAAGTTCCACTTTGGTGAGTAGAATACAATGAATCAGATGAATCCAAATTGAGTTCATTCCAGGTTCAAAAACAATCTCTCCGGAACTCTCAGAGTAGTCGCCACCATATTCACATCACTAACTATATTTTACAGGTCAATGTCATTTTCAGATGTACAAAAGGATTCTGGAAGCCACTTTAGTTCCTCTGGGTCACTCAGAAACATTCCATGAACTACCACAAGTAGTAATTAAGAGGAAAATATAACTAAAAAATGTACTTGTGATTGATACACTGGCTCTGCTATATACAACAATGCAATAGATAAGTGACATTCTAGTGGCCTCAAAGAATGAATGTGCCTCCCAAACGTTTTCACATCTCTGAAGGGAAGGTGTGCCTGCCCTTACACATGAGACGTACTGGAGAAAAAGTGCACAGACATTGATTTTTTAAACGCACTGATAGGGCCACCTGTGAAATGAAACCCGTAGTCAGTCCTTTGTCATATCAATAACCATCTTGTTAACTTGTCTGATTTTGAGAGCAGCCTTTTACATGTTAAGGTATGTTTTAAAGCAAGACAAAAGGATAGCTTAGAAATTTATAAAATCGGATTCATTCTCCAATAAGATATTATTAGGCATTTTGAAGTTGTACAGGTACATTTCCAAAAGAAATCACAATTCAAAGTCTTAGGGGTATCTGAGAACTCAGGCACTTTCAGAGGTACTCTGACAAATAGTTAAAGCACACAACAGGCTTTGACTATGTCCTCCAGTCACCTTTTGATTCTCCTCATAGGTATAGAAATAATATGCATTAATATCCAAAAGCAATTTAGGAGTAAAAATGTGCTGATCCCCCAATCCTTAACATGGAATACAAACAAATGCATCTGTGGGTGACAGCAGAAGCACTACCTATAATAAATTAGGCAGGGATTAGCAAATGCAGATGATTATCCTGCTCCAGTTAAATATATAGGAAATATATATATTATATATATATATATATATATATNTATATATATATATATATATATATATATATATATGTTTATATATATAATCTAGAACACTAAATTTGCAAAGGGAACCTCAAACTGGGCTTTGGTTTAACCAGTAACCAACTCATAACCGAAGCCTAACAAAAACATATACCAATATTTCCAATGTTATACGGGCACCTCTGTTTTTGAGACAGCGATCTCCTTGGCTGCATTAATAAGAATATTTGGGTAGCCATAAAAAGAAGGTTTATTACACAAATGTAGAAAGTGGCTTAAGGTTCATTACTGATCCATTAGACAACTGCATTAAAGCACTGAGCACCAGCAGCCACTGCTTTCCACTCCCCGTCTGTAATTGTCAGCTGACTGGCCAATAACTCAGGGGGCAGGTGAACCATGAGATTTCAAATGGACTGACCTGAACTCTGTGTTTAAAGCAGACAGGCTGGATTTGCCATTCAAATCACAAGTGATTTATCCCTTCCTTCCGCACTCAAGTTCCCTGGTTATGTGTGCCAGGGGCACACCCAACCCCCACCTCCACCACCCCATCGTCAAAGAAAAGCCCTTACCTGTGGTGGAACAGCTGTACTGTGGGTACTGTGTGAAAGCAATCGCCCTTTCCAGTCCATCTCTCTCCATCTCTTCAATCGCTTCTTCTGTTAAAGGATGGACATACCGGAATCCAATATAGTATTTGTGCGGGGCTTTTAGAAAGCATGTGTGGAGAGGAGAAAGTATTAATCTTTATATAGATTCCTCAGAGCCACCCAACATGATGCAATGTCCAGAACAAAGAACAGTTAACCTAATTTCCTACGGTGCTGATAATGTGAGGAAAGTTTAGAATATTCCTTGGCTCTCTGATCCAGTCTTCGGCTAATACATGGACTTTTAATCACTATTTTCTGGGACCGACTTCCCCTCTCACATACGTGCATCTTTATTTAGCTCAATGGGTTTTTAAAACTCAAGCTTCTGTGCCTAATTCTCTGCTCCTTACTGCTGAGATGAGAGACTCAGGTGAAGGGAGGGAAGAACCAGCACTAATTCTCTCATGCACCAGACACCGTGGCAGACACTCGCTTTTTTCCCCCTCTCATTTAAACCCCACTTTTCAGGTAGAGAAACAGAGCCTCTCAAAGGTTAATGAGCCTGCTCGAAATCAGACCTCGCAGATGGTCGTGCTGAAATGAAAACGTGGTCTCCCCATCCCATAGCCCATGCTCCCTCCAGGGCCCCGCTGTTCCCACCACCTGAGTTCCCTCCTCCTGTGCCCTCAGACCCCAGGCCACCTCATTTATGGGAAAGCTCTGCGATACTCGATACAAGTTCATTGATAACAAGTGACTGAAATGATTCTCCCGAAAAACAAAAAACAAAAACCTGACAACGACGTCTACATCGGAGGCACCGAGCGGGACGGAAAATAACTGCCCTTGCCTCCCATCTGGCCCACATCAGCTGCGTGTCTTTGTGACCCTTCCCCCTTTGCTTCGTCACTTCCCTCTTCTGTCTCCTCCTTTGTCCTCCTGCATCTTTTGACTCCTGTATTTTAAAAGCATCCACAACCAACCACCTCTTAGGCATGTATAGAATCATAACACTGAAAGTTTCCTAAAGTTACCCGGTCTAATTTCCTTATCTTGCCATAGGATTACCCCTAATTTATACTCAGGGATGACACTGCAAGTACACCACATAAACATTAGGTAACAGTCATCCCAAGATGATGTTACTGTCCAACCATTAGCAGGGGCTGCAACTGAGAATGTGACACTAAATTGCCACATAAGAGACATTTAGGTCAAAGTGAAGGAAAGATAAACTCATTTATTGTGTACGTGTGTGTGTGTGTGTATGTGTGTGTGTGTGAATATATATACACACACACGCACATATATAAAACATTCCTCACTTGACCCAGGAAACCATGAGTCAATGGAGCATGTTACCTAGGACAGAAGCAGAATATCAAAAGGAGAGAGAGGCACGTATGGGCCTGGGAAGGTTGTTCTGATTCGCTATTCTCTGGTTGGGGACCACAGAAAAGAGGAAGGAAATCATGTTCAGCTGTCTGTCCCTTCGAGGCCACCAATCTTATGTTCTCTTGCATAAAACATGGTGAACTGCAGTTAAAATACACCAGAAGGCATGACCCTAGAAGCAAACTCCAAACGACTGACTGTTCAAAGATGACGTGGCTCATGCTAAAACTGCCAGCTCCCACGGTGACATCAAGTCCATTTCTAAGGAGCAAGCTCTTGGCAATCTGAGGTGCAGATGAAGTGTAATTGGCTTTCTAATCTATTCTGAGACAATACTATGATCAGACTGGCACAGTAAGATCCCCCAAGGCTGGAGGTCAACTAGCTTCTCCCACATTCTTTTCACCTGTGAAAAGCTGCAGCCTAAATGCCTGGCATCTAGGGGTTCCTCAGTATTGCGGACTAAGAGAGGTGGCGAAGCTGCCCTCACAGATAAAGGCACAGTGGTGACTGCATTTCGAAGTGAGAGAGTCAAGTACTCTGGAAAGAACGGATAAGATTTGCTAAACTGTTTGCTTAAAAATGGCCTGTGCAAAGACAGTTAGAAAAAATGACAGTGCACTCTCTCTGGCTGGGCGTAACCTGAGGAAATAACAAGTGTTCCCGAAGTTTCTGTGGGTGTCAGGTTCTGTGTGCAGGGACGGGGAGGGCCCCCTGGACGGTAGCCAGCGCCACACCTGCCAGGGCGAGCCCGAAACACAGGCCTCGTGGCCCAGCCGAGGCTACTCTGGGAGCAGCTGCTCAGTGAACACTGTTTGGCAAGAACGAGAAAATGGAAAAAAAGGAACAGAGAAATTGGATTTTGAAACAGTGAAACTTCATTAATTTCCAGCCCATTAATTTAGCATGTACAACAGTTCAAATGTCTGATTTGTACAGGATTCTTTGAAAGAAGATGTGAAAGATAGAGCACAATGCTTTGTAATCTGCATCACATCATGAACCCTATGCCAAAGATGAATAATAATACAAGCTCACAGTTATCGAAGTTTTGTCATGTACCATGCACCACGCTAATAATGCCTTTCGGGATTGCTGTATTTAATATTCACAATGATCCTACGAGTTGGGTTCTGCTAACGTCCCCATTTTCAAGATGAGGCTCGTTGGGGTCAGTAATCTGTCTGAAGTTATGCAAACAGGAGTGGGGAAGCCAGTCTGTCTGTAACAACCCATGCTCCTCCCCACTATGCAGCCGAGAAAGAACAACGGAATTATTTTACTGAGTAGCGCTCACTTCCTCAAAAGCAGTCACAGTCTCCATAACTAAACTGTAATTTCTAAAATGTATTTCAGATTTAGAATTTTCATGAAATGATCATACGTCTTATCTATTTCCCTCTGTGTTCCCTCAATTACTGCAATGTGGTCTAACTATATGAAACCAATTCCCTCATGTAACTCACCCTATTCATTAATAGTCAATTTTATGCAAAGACGTGTGAATCTCAAAATTTCTATACAGGCTACCAAGCCACAACTACTTCCCTAAAAAATGACAGCATGAAACATTTTCATCTGTTTGTAATCATCACACTGTTTTGCCTAAAGAGAATTTTTCCAAACAGAAATGAACAAATAGACATAGTTGAAAAGTAAACTTTATAGTTTTGTAGGAAAGAAAGTAGAAGAAGGAAAGAAGAATGAAAAAGAGATAAAGAAGGGGAAAAACAAAGAAACCGGAAAGCAGGAAGGAAAAGCCACATGAAGTGAGGGTGGAGGAAAGTGACTGCTATTCCCACCCGAAGGCACCTGGGTACCCCCTCATCGCCACGCTTCAGGTCCACTCAGCAAGTGTGAGCAGGACGAGAAGTTTCTTTCCGGGCAATCTGAGCAAGCCCCTGCGGGAGGCAGAGGCACACCTGGCGGTCTTTGGTCTTCAACGCAAAGTTCCCCCAAAGAAGTTTCCAGACCTTGACACTATTTCATGTTTCCCATCCCACACTCTGTGTGACCATCAGCCCTCATGCACGTTTTACAACGCATGACTCCAATGTCGTCAAAAGATTTCCTCGCTACCCCTTAAGCAGACTCGCCTGCAGCAGCAAGGTTCCACTAGACTGGAAGCTTCTTGTAAGCAGAAACCATGTTTTTCAACTTTGAATAGCAGCATCGAACAGTGCAGCACACTCAGTGGGCCACTGATGAATGAATGAGTGAGTGGGTGGTCTTGGGCCTTATTAAATACCACTCTGGCATCCCCCCAATCAGGCCTACTGAAAGGATCAGGTGTCATCTACCATGCAGAATAAGGCAATAATTTAGCTTGCCTGCCTCACAGGGTGCCAACTGTGGGCCACAGAGGATGGACATGTGCCAAAGGGTCATCAGTACCAAAGCCCTCCCAGGACCAGGCCCTTGGCAAGCTTCCAAGATCCAGAAAAACCCAAAGCAGCACCCAAGAGAATTCGCTCCCTGCCTCGGTGAAAACCACCAGGAAACTCGGCTCCGTGGAGGCGAGGGTGTAACTTATTCACTCCTTTATCCCTCATCACAATACCTGACATGTGGTCCGTGCTCATAAATGTCTGGCGGTTGGTTGGATGGAAGAAGAATGGATGGGTGTGGGAATTCGTGGTTGAAAGAGTGGGTGAGTGATCAAATTGGTGAGTGGACGGAACAGGAAAGGAAGAAAGATGATTTCCTGTCACACGAGTCATGATTTAGTGACTGGACAGCCAAGCCACTGAGCTGGTTTGGGCTTTGTGGATACCCTAAACTTATTCCCTGAGTTATAATGAAGAATAATAGGCTTCTTTTTTTTTTTTTCACATAAGTCTCCATAAGATAGAAGGCTTAATAACTGGTTTTTTTTAAATGACTCTTACAACAATTTTGACTATGGAAATAAGTGAATAATATTCTTTGGTCCCTACCAAAGCAGGGAATAATTAATCCTAGAGTCTAGATGCTTGTAACTTCCTCTCTTTGTACTAAGTGGCCACATAGCAAAATGATCAGATGTCTGATAGTAAGTGAAACACTGAGTTAAATCCAGGCCATTCCACAGGAGTCTTTCCAGGCCCACCTGGGAGGCTGAGGCCATTGCTGGCTTGTCTGTCTGAACAACCCAGCAGCCTCCCCATAGAGGGAGGAGACGGTGAGAAGGATGCCCTCCACCTATTGCACGTTCCTGTTTCAAGTCTGACAACCCTCCTGGGGCCTGTACGGTGACGGGTACTAGCTATACTAACGGGTCAACAGGAAACAGCGGCATCTTTCCGTCTCCTTTTCCCATTGAGGACAACATAGCAATTGCATGTTGGCTTCATGCTAAACCTTGGATCGTGATAAAACTGTTAATGACTAGAGAGTCTGTTCTCCATCAAGCAGGTGTGAGTAGAGGTCAGCCAAGTTTCCCTCATTTTAGGAGATATATTGTGGCATGTGTGGCTGAACTGTGTAAGAAATGCCCTTGAGCCACAAGCGAAGGCAGGAAGCAAACCTAATATTCAAAAGCGCAATTGAGCAATTTTCCAAATGAGATGCTCTGCCGAGGGCTGGAGCCCTTTGTCCTTATTTGTGTGCGATGGGAAACTGGCCTCTGAGAGCAACTGGAGCTGCCGCTCAGTGACGTCTTCTCAGAGAAGAGCGGAATGCTGGTGCTCGTGCCTAGCAGGGCTGCTCGTGTGGAGAGTACCCCCTGTGTCCCACTCTTGTCCTGATCCTGAAGCCCTAAAATGTACCTGCAATTGATATGTCTCATGTGTCCTCAGATGAACATTTTTTGTTTTCACATTTCTCATATTGGTCTGTACCTACAACAGATGCTGTCTTAAAAGTAACTGGCGGCTGTGTGTGTGTGTGTGTGTGTGTGTGTGTGTGTGTGTGTGTGTGTCTTAGTATTACATAAAAATAATGGTGTGTCCTGCAGTCGGTGGTCTCTTGCATGAGATTAAACATGGCACTGACAGTTCATTTGTATAGTCAGTGTTTCATTCTGCACATCTTCACTAGAGATTTTGAGAGGATGGTCGTCAGATGTGTGCAATCCTCTTTTTAGTGCTACATCTGACAAGCCACTTCCATGCCTCACAATGGTGGTATCGCCAAGAGCTGAAAAGCAGTTACTGAATGTTGCTTGAGAGTCTCACGGCTGCAGCAACAGGCAGCTCATTCCGCTCTAAATGTTGATCTAATTAGCTATCCACACAGAAAGGCAAGGCAAGGGCAGCAGCCTCAATTCATTCCCCCCAAATGTCTTCCCAGAGCCATGTATGTGCATCTTTTACTTATGGTACATGGCCTCTTCCTTATAACCTAGCTCAACTTAACACACACCTCCAACTTCCTTTGGAAACTAATGTTCCAAATCTTTAGCTTTTTTCATTTGCAACATAAGGAGGTAAAGGAAAAGGTTCTGAGTTAAGTGATCGTGCATCACATAGGAACCCACACAAATCGGGAGCTGTCGGGACAAAGAGCTACATTTGGCATCCGGGAGTGTCCTGAGTTTCCTAACTGCTTTGGAAGGGCACACCCAGTGAGCCGTTAGGTAAGAGACACTGTACCTGTGTGCGGGGACAGCTCGTCCAGCAGCTCCACCATGCCTTCTCCTTGCCGGGACGTCCACATCTTGATGGGGGATCCACCTCCAATCCTGCGGTACTGCTCCTGAATTTTGGGGGTTCGGCGTTTGGCGATGATTGGTGCCAGCTTACTAAATCATTTAATATGTAGATAAGTGGATTTTATTCCACCTTAGCAACCTCAGAAACATTTTCTACTCAATAAAAAAGAAGATAAACAAAATTTTCAGAAGAGCCTACCAAGATCGAGCCTTTAGGAAGCTTGAGGTCACTGATGGTGGCCCACTCTTTTGGCCAAAATTGGAGAAAACCAGACACCCCCAAAGGAGTAGGCACCTCCACCCCACAGGCTGTCCCAGCAGCACACCTGGAGAATCGGCACAACAAACACCCAGGCAGAGACCCTGGATGTGTGCTAGCTACCATCCTAACACTTCCTGAGCCTGCATCTAGCAGGAACTGGGACATATGAGACATTAGGAAGCATATATCCTCTTAATTTAGGAAAATGCCTATTAATCCTATAGATACACTTGCATAGGTGAGCAACGGTGTATGACAAGAATGTTCATTGTAACCGTGTAAACAGGTTAAATGTCCATCAGAAAGGCACTGGTTAAATAAATTAAGGTCCAACCATACAATGAAATTATTTACAGTCATGAAAAATATATGAGCCAAATCTATGTAATAAATTATGGAATAATCTCCAAGATACATTGTTAAGTTTCAAAAACAATAGTAAAGTGGGCGGCAGGTTGGCTCAGTTGGTTAGAGCGCAGGCTCATAACACCAAGGTTTTCGGTTCGATCCCCACATGGGCCACTGAGCTGTGCCCTCCACAACTAGATTGAAGACAACAGCTTCACTTGGAGCTCAGCTGCACCCTCCACAACTAGATTTAAAACAACAACTTGACTTGGAGCTGATGGGTCCTAGAAAAACACACTGTTCCCCAATAAAGTTTAAAAAAACAATAGTAAAGTACCTAATAATGTACATAAGTACATTCACATTTGTGTGAAAAGGAGGGATATACATAAGTATTCATATGTAGGCTTGGATATGCATGGACTGTTTCTGGATGTAACAGTGCTTGCTTGCGTATCTCCGGGGTGGGTAACTGGGAGGCTGGAGTCTAAGGTAAAAGGGACACCTGCTTTTTACTCTAAACATTCTTATACTAATTGTATTTTTATCATATACGTGTATGAGTTTTTCATTACAAAAACCGATTTTAAAAGAAAAAGAAGAGAAGGGAGGAGAGATGGAAGAATGCTAAGAGGAGGACAGCAACAACCCATATTCGCAGTACAAATGAATACTAGTCACTGCTTCCCTGAGTGTTAATCACCTGTTAAGTGCCAAGAACAAACACAGTACATCTCGGAAGATCTTTAAAGGTACTTCAGCTCTGTCAAGACAACTGTAATTTCCAGAGCTCTGGGGAGGAAAGGGCTCAAGGACAATATTCACTGACTCACTTTCTCTCTCCCCTGCAATTCTTCCAACACCATATCCTCTTATGTCTAATAAAAAATCATACTGCTACTCTAGCCACTACCAAATATGCACTGAACCACTTATTTTTTTTGAAACTATAGGACTGAGATACCTGTAGGCCAAGATGCATTGCACAAGTTACGAAGAAGAACAGGCGTTCATATGTATCTTACTTTTGAATAGGAAGCGTCATGAGGTCTCGGTCCAAGAAGAGCCTCAGGAGGAAGTCATGAACATCTCCAAGGGTTTCAGGGCCTCCCATGTTTAGCATTAATATTCCAGTTTTCGGCTTCCTGCATCAGATAAAATGCAATGGTTGATTTGTAACGCGTTTTATTTTCCTCTAGGGCGGAATCTTGGTTCGGTTCGCAAACTCGCATCCAATCTGTCTGATGCAAAGGTAAAAACCCTACAGACCTGCTCACTGACACCCATGGCTGCCTGTCTTGGAATGCACAAGGCCTCCAGTTCTGCACAGTCCCAGCTCAGGCCACGACCTCTATCCATGGCACTGTTTTTCACTGGGCTCGAAATGTTTCTCTATTAAACTGTCAGCCCTGAACAAAGATCCCGTTCTTTGGGGACTGAGAGACAAACCCAATTTGTCGGGGCTGAAGCAGCTATTCATGCGACTGCCTTATGGATACACAGGTTACTTGAGCTCTCCAAACCAGTTTCCTCATCTGTAAAATAGAGAGGTTGTTGTGAGAATTAATGGATAATGTACTTAGTCACCTGCATGATCTGGTGCATGTAGGAAGTTTACTGTACACAGAGAAGCCCTGGATTTCCCTATCATTTTAAACTTCCAGAGCATAGGACCAGCCCATATCTCACTCTGATCTTTTCTCTTTAGATGGTTATTAAATTAAATTATCACTGACAAATTATTTCTTGGTGCTCTGCTTCCTTCTCCAGCATCTGCCCTTACTTCTTCTCCTGCTATGATAAACTACATTTCTTACTTGACTCTCAACTCTCCACCCTTCCTCTAAATCCACTGCTCAGTTAATTCCTGTAAAAAATTGCTGACTTACTCAAATCAGGCTAAAGAACCAAGTGCCCAATGAGCAAAAAGAAGCTAAAAGAAAACAAAACTCCATAACAGAAGTTATAAGTAAAGAAACTTCTGAGAAATAAAAGAAAGGACTATGCATAAATGTAAAACTTCTAAAATCCAGAGCACTTTGGAGTCTACAGAGCCCAAAGGGAGGCAGGCCAGGACTGGTTCTCTATCCCGCCTGGGGGCAAGGTGGGGGCAGAGCAGAACCAAGTGCATCCCACAGGCCTCTGGGAGCTGCCAGACCAGGACCAGAGACCCTGAACGATGAGGTCAGAGCCTGAGATGGGACCATGAACTGGAGGTCTGTGTGTTCCCGCGAATGGGAAGCCATGCGATGGCAGTGAAAGAGTCTGCAGGTAGGGAAACTAAAGAAAACACAGGAGTGTTTCTTCCATTCTTTTTTTTTTCTTTTTAATTTTTAAAAAATTTAGATATAATTCATACTACAAAATTTGCCATTTTAAACTGTACAATTCAGTGGTTTTTAATATATTCACAAGGGTATGAGACCATCACAAGTATCTAATTCCTGAACATTTTCATCATCCCCAAAAGAAACCTCGTACTCAGTAAAGCCACGCCCCAGTCTCCCTCCCCCTCCCCCTTGGCAACCATTGATCTATTAATATTTTCTGGATCTACGGATTTACCTATTTAGGACATTTCATAGGAACCGAGTCATACAGTATGTGGCCTTTTGTGTTTGGCTTCTTTCTCTTAGCACAAAATTTTCAAGATTCATCCATGTTATAGGATGAATCAGTACTTCTTTCTTTTTTGTGGCTGAATAATATTTCATTGTATGGATATATTCTCCAGTCACTCTTGATAAAGCAGCTGAGACATAACCAGTCTGAGGTCGACCTAAAACAGCATTGATAAGAATGCGCTTTCTAAATCTCCTCCATCAAGGCCACCTCCAGCTACCGCAGTGACTGAACCAATCCTGCTGAGATAGGTCTCGTTTGGAAGACTGCTCTTCATGTGTCCTAAAGCTAATGATATTATGATGACATTTTAATTGCAATTTTCCCACAATTGTTAACAACGTTTGGCAACGTTAGACAGCAGAGGATATCAAATTTATACAGGTGGAAACTGTTTTCTTGACCATGCATATGGTAGGCGACTGAGGTAGAAATCTGAATTCTCAGCCTAAATGTTCAAAATTAGCATCAATTCTTGGGGCAAGGGAAACGTTGCATTACAATGAAGTCTACATTTTCTCATTTAGGCCCCATTACAAAAGCTACCTAAGTTCACCTTTCACATCATTGTCTCAGCACCACTGACATTTTGGGCTGGATAATCCTTGGATGCGGAGGGCTGTGTGGTATACTGTACAGGTTTGGTAGCATCCCTGGCCTCTAATTACTAGATGGCAATAGCACACACCCCACCCCAATTGTGACAACAAAAATGTCTCTAGGCATTGTCAAATATGTCCCAGGGGGCAAAATGCCCCAACCTTCTGTTGAGACCACTGTGTTAGAGGAAGGGGGTTAATCTCCTTTTTATTAAACTATACAACTATGCTAAGGGTGTCATCGTTCTCTAACTTTCCCACCCCGTCTGACCAGAAGTCCTATCAATGAATTAACAAACGTGTTTAGCTTTCTTTCTTGATAGCTGAAAATTCCAGATTCATTATATTGTGAAATTGTAATATTCCCTTAATCTTTCTACTTAGACCACCACTGTTCTCCAGGGAACCTGTCGTGGACTCTCGAAATCTGTGACTCACAATAAATTAAGTGCGTTTTTCCATGGACTGCTGCCAGTTAATAGATGAGTGGTTAGGAAACCCCAGGCTAAGAGACTTACCTAAGCCACAGAGGGTGTCAATGTGCAAACGGGATTTGGAACTGTTTCTTATCTACACCTGAGCTAAAAACAAGAGTGGCTTTAAATGGGACGTCACCCTGCCCTGCAAATCCATGTTTTGCAAACCATGTTGATTTGATCTTATACATGAAAGAGATGCACATGATTTGAAAATACCTAAATATCCATGCACTTAATTCAAAACCATGTTGTGCATGACAAACGGTGCATTAGAAAGCCTGAGTCCGACACCCCTCTTTTCCAGAATGTAAAGTACAAGGCTTTAGTCGAGGGTCTGTCTTTTCACTTCTCCAGGCAGAGCACATCTGAGACCAAGGTCTGAACGGCCACGTTCCCTTTGTGTAAATGTAAAAGTGTATACAGCAAAACATATTTAAAACTTCTCACTTGAAAAGGTTTCAGCGTTTTGTCATTTTTATATTTTGGAATTCTCAAAACATGAGGTTTTTTCCCTTTGAAATTAATGGTACATAACAGAAACTTAGCTCATTAGTTAATAAATAGAATCCTATTCTGTACCAGGGGTGCCCCCAAAAAAGGTATACACATAATTTGTATTCATCTTTTGTTATTGGTATAGATTGAGTATTACAATTTTAATACAGTCTTTTTCCTTTCTTAAAATGTGTATACTTTTTTTTGGCACCTTCTGTATATAGTGTCAGGAAAACAAAACAAAACAACAAATCCAGCTCTTCATTAAACCTAAAAGATGTAATAGGCCTGAGGATCTATGATGCCTCTAGAACAGGGTTTGGCAGACTACAATCCATGCACCAAATTTGTACCCTGTCCCCCACTGCTTGTTTTGTAAATAAAGCTTTGCTGCAACATAGCTTATTTGTTTACATATTATCTATGGCTGCTCTCACAGTATAACAACAAAGTTAAATAGCAGCAAAAGAGACCAAATGGCCCACGAAGCCTAAAAAATTAACTAGCTAGCCCTTTGTAGACAAGTTTGCTAAGCCCTGGTCCAGAAGAGTGTTAGTCTAATACTGTCTAGTCTAGTCTAGTCCAGGCACTAAACAGCACAATGACTTCAAAATGTTTGGTGTCAGAGTGATTCACAAAGACTCTCATCACTTAATCATTTCTAATATCTAAAACTAGAAATAATCTATGTGCCCCAGAATATGGGACCAGATAAATAAATTATGATTTAATAAAATAATCTTAAGCTATTAAAATAATGTAGAATATTTATATTTATATGGGGACATTAGTAAATAAAAAGAGGAAGTTATAAAAATATATACAGTATTGTCACATTTTGGTAAATATATACTGAATGAATATTAATTAATAAATATAAATATAGAGACAAAATACTGGATGGTGAGATTATCAGTAATTTTTTTTAATCTGTTTTTTTTGTGGCCTGTCTGTATTTCTAAAATGAAACCATTAATGTTGTATAAATATGATATAGTTATTTAATAGAGTTTCTATTTTTTTCAGATTTTAATTAAATTTAAATAAATTAATATTTATATTATTGACTTTTGCCACTAGGGTAACATTATAATGAAATAATTTTTTTCCAGGATTCCACATCAAATCAGTTCTTCAGGTTACACTAAGTACCCTATGTACTTAAAGCACTTTCTACTGTGACTGAGGTGAGAAAAGAGGGACTATAGGGGTCGAGGGGAATGGTGCCCTGCTCAGCACGCCAGACCTGAGACAATGGTGTGCTTGTTGTCTTCCTCATCAGATTCAATCTTTTAGGAAGCCAGAGAGTTCAAAGGAGATGATTTGGGGCCCCATCCCTAATGCCTTATCCCCTACAAACCTCAGTTTAGTGTTCAATGTGCCCCTGGTCACACTGTGAAAAATAACAAACACAGAATAAGACTACTTTATTTTCCTTGCTGCATAACTTTAAAAGAACTTCTGGTCTACCAGAAAGGTCAAGGGGTTAAGTAGTTCCCAGCTACTTTCTTTCTTTCCCTCAGCTTAGTGTTCAAGTGCACTATTCCATCTAGGTGCTCATCTAAATAATTGTCCTTTATAGTTTTCCTTTGCCTCTGCACTGGAGGAAGGCTTGTGAACAGCTGTGGCTTCTGCTATGAAAGAGGATACCCAGCAACAACGCCGTGCCTGCTGACGTCCACCCACAAGCAGCAGAGGTGGGGCATGAAACATGTACTTCATTTATTTAATGAATCATATTATGTCATTTACAATTATGGTCACTGTGTTAACAGATGAAAAACAATGGTACAGTCTACCATAGAAAATCTTGGTGGATTAGTTAGTTATTCTCTATACTGTACAGGACATACATTTCAAAGGTATAATTATGTTAGGTTCATAACTACATTTCCAGCATACATGGAATTTGTTATGTGACATATTCCAGAGCTAAATTCCTACATGATTTGTATACTGTTCATACTCTGTGTCCTTTAACAAAAGCCCTGTGGGATTTTTATATTTGTCAACTGTACCTTAATAAAGGTGGAAAATAAATTAATTAATTAAAAATCTGTAAAAATAAAAAAAAAATTTTTTTAAGCCCTAAGGGGTAGGTGGGGGGTGAAATCTGTTTAACAGTTTAAGGGCTATTGAAAGGAAGCCAAGAAAGTAACAGACTGCTCTTTATACCCTGGGTTTTCCCTGCACCTTTCCATCAATAAAGCAAAGTCCTTATTAGTACCTAGAATTAGGCTCATACCTACCTCTTCCCTGGTTGGACTTGAGGTTTTGGGTTTCTGGCGCGTTGGGCTGTTTCTGTGACGGCTGCTGCGGCGGCGGCTGCTTCTGATTGGCACCTCCATGGCTGACGGGCCCTTGAGCTGCCACACACCACTGTGACAAAATTAAAGTGGTAGCATGAAATCTAGCTGGAAAGTAATTTCTTTTGAAGAGGCCCTCACAGCATAACTCCTGGGTTTAAATTTTAAAGAGATATTGTAGCAGAGGTGATTTTCCCAGCATTTCTGTGCAGGTGGGGGAAGGCATTTCAAGTCTCTCCCAGGGGATACAGTGGCGCCCTGTAGAATGGCTCATCACGACCTACACGGAGCCTGTTTAGAAGCCACACACCTCCTCTCCCTGCCTTGGCCACAGATTTTGATAGGATCCCTCACCTGAATCACTGCACCTTATGGAAGTTACTGATGGCAGCAAGCTGCTCATAGGAAAGGTGAGGGGCCTGCAAGAAGGGTAAGAGCCTCTGGCTTGCGGAGTGGACACGGGCCCACCAGGTGCACAGATCTCAGATTTGCCTACATGTTTTCTCCAACAAAGCACCCTACTGAGGACCCCAGTATTGCTCTTAGACCCTGACAAGGGGCACCTCTGCTTTAGAGGCCAACTCTGGCACTAATCCTGCTGCACCCCACCCCACGGGTATGCAGTCTGCACGGCCAAGGATTGATGGACTCCCAGAGGACACACCCCAGATTCCTGACCAGAATCCCCTGCCCCCGAAACCCCACACCCACTTCCTGGCCTCTTTCCTGGGTCCATCCTTCTGAGGTCTGATCGCGCCATCAGTGGAAGCTATTCTTGACCTGAAGGGTAGCCAACAGGTGGCTGTCTGGAGCTTGAACACACAGGCTGGAGTGTCCACATGTGTATGCACAAGACTCTTCACAGTGCAGGCCAGAGCCAGCAGTGGGAAGAGAATCAGGGAGCCTGCAGCCCACTGGCAAGTCTCCCAAGGCCTCCACATTTCTGCAGGAACTCTGAAGAGTTCAAGAGTTCACCCTTCCAGGCTGTTAGGAAGGTCTATTTGTCAGTGTAGGAGACCAGAATGTATTTCCCAGTTTGTTCGCTTGCTATCCCACACACGATAAATGGTTCTGCAGTTGCACTCTTGCCCTGGGCCCCACAAGAATGAGTGATGGGCCTGGAGAAGCACCTGAATTGAGCAGTCCACGGGCCACACTCAGGTGTAGCCCCACACTGTACATAGGACCTCCCTACTCTCAAACCAGTAGGTTTGAAACCTGCTTAAGATCAGTCTCTTTCTTCCCTCCTCCTCCCTGTGAGTCATAGGTGTCCTGGTGAGGGACTCAGGCTGGGTGCCAGCAGTTCTGATTCTGAATCCAGCTCTGCCACTTATTAGCGATGCGTCTGGGGTTGGGTTATAATATTTCTGAGCCTTAGTTTCCCCAGCTGTAAAATAATGACACCTTACTATCCTTGTAAGGATTATATCAGATAAAAGCAGTGAAGCATTCTGTACAGAGTCTGCCACATATGATTAGTGCTGGCATTAGTTTCGCTGGTAAGTGTCTAGAGCACAGGGGCTACACCTGCTCTGATTTTTTATCACCTAGCATGTCTATAAAATATAGGAGAATGGTATCTCCAGGCCACTTAGATTTCCAGCTGTCCGATTGTGCCCATTCCCCACAGAGCCAATTACACAAGCTTGTGCTGAATAATCCTTCCTAACTCAAAGTGGAAGTGCCAAGATGGACATAAAGAAGTTCAGTTCTGCTCACATGAAGTCTCAAACCAACTCACTTCTCCTTATTTCAGACACGTTCAATTCTGAACTGCATGATGAGATTTAACCAAGTTCTCAATCATGCCTCAATGTCTGCAATTCCTTATATGAACGAGAGTAAATCAGATTCCATGGGGTATGAAAATAGAAGTTTGGCATCCCATAATATGACTGCTGGTAATAAAATATGATTCCTCCTGTGAACCTTAAAAAGGAGTTGAGAGAGAGGGGCGAGTCCAGCGAGTGCATGAGTATTTCCTAGTACAATTTGGGAGCAGGTAGCTTTTTGAGCTGCTGACCTATTGTCATGCCCTCTGCTTACAGAATTCTCTTCTCTGTGGTGGAACAAATTCTCAGTGCAGGGTCATACTGCTAACCACAGATCCTGTCAGGACTTAAGAGTTAATACAGCTACTTCTCAAGGACCTCTCTAAAATACACCTCTCCCCTAATGATCTGAAGGTTCTAGAGAAACAAAGAGTGTCTCCTATCACAAGATTAGTGTTTATCTAACTATAGGAGTTTAAAATAATCATTCAAAGGACTAACTGAGATTCATGAATATACTCAGCTCATAGCTGAAGAGAAAGCCAAAGGCACAGGCAACACAGAACACAGTATATGTGCTACAGCCACAGAGAGCTGAGCAGAAATCCCTGACAGGACCAACAAGCTGGGTGGCAGTGCTTGGGCAACTCGCCACGCCACTCCAAGTCTCACTTTTCTCATCTGTAAAATGGTGATGAGACCAACCTTGCAGGGCTCTTGTGAAGAACAGAAAAACAACAACAACTATGTCCGGCCCCAAGAACAGTGCCTGGCACACTACATGTGGTTAAGCAAGAGGTAAGACTACTATCATCCTCACTTGGTGTCATCAATAGGTTCCATGATTTCAAGCAAAACAATGAATAACGAAACCAATTTTACCATAGGCTAATTGATATAAACTAAAGTCAAGTTCATACGGCATCTGATCAATGTTACAATGAAACGACTTTGAACAAAACAATGTTATTTGAGGACCTGCTGTACTCAACAGTAAGGCCTTGACCACCTATGAACTAAGATCAGGTAATTCTACTCTTGACATGGACAACTGGTCTACCTTTGGAAGATTTACAAACTATAAAAGCTATAAAACTGAGGGATATGCAGGAGAAGATGATATAAGAGAACAAAACTCTGTAACTCCTGGACAAACCCAAAAGGTGAATCACTCAAAAGTAAACTTGTGAAAGAACAGAACAAAGCTCCAGAAAAAGAACTAAACAAAATGGAGACAAGCAATCTACCAGATGCAGAGTTCAAAATACTGTTATAAAGATGCTCAATGATCTCAGTGAGAACTTCAACAAAGAGATAGGAAACATAAAAATGAAGATAGGAAACATAAAAAAGAACCAGTCAGAAATGAAGAATAACTGAAATAAAGAATACATTAGAGGGAATCAACAATAGATTAGATGAAGCAGAGGATCAAATCAGCTTTGGAAGATAAGGTAGCAGAAAACACTCAATCAGAAAGCAAAATGAAAAAAGAATCTAAAAAAATGAGGATAGTTTAAGGGGCCTCTGGGACAATTTCAAGCACACCAACATTTTCATCACAGGGATACTAGAAGGAGAAGAGAGAGAGCAAGGAATTGAAAACTTATTTGGAGAAATAATGAGGGAAAACTTCCCTAACCTGGCAAAGGAACTAGATATACAAGCCCAGGAAGCACAGAGAGTCCCAAACAAGATGAATCCAAACAGACATGCACCAAGATACATCATAATTAAAATGCCAAAGGTTAAAGGTAAAGAGAAAATCTTAAAAGCAACAAGAGAAAAGCAGTTAATTACCTACAAGGGAGTTCCCATAGACTGTCAGCTGATTTCTCAACAGAAACTTTGCAGGTCAGAAGAGATTGGCATGAAATATTCAAAGTGATAAAAAGCAAGGGACCTACAACCAAGATTACTCAGCAAAGCTAGCATTTAGAATCAAAAGACAGATAAAGAGCTTCCCAGATAAGAAAAAGTTGAAGGAGTTCATCACCACCAAACAAAATAGACTTTAAAACAAAGGCTATAACAAGAGACAAAGAAGGACCCAGTAATCCTACTTCTGGGTATTTATCTGAAGAAACTGAAAACACTACATCAAAAAGGTGCATCCATATGTTCATTGCAGCATTATTTACAATAGCCAAGATATGGAAGCATCCTGGGTGCCCATCAATGCATGAAAGGATAAAGAAGAGGTGGTGCATATATACAATGGAATATTACTCTGCTATAGAAAAGAATGAAATCTTGTCATTTGCAACAACATGAATAGACCTAGAGAATATCATGCTAAGTAAAATAAGTCAGGCTGAGAAAGACAAATAAATACCATATGATCTCCCTTACATGTGGAATCTAAAGAACAAAATAAACAAACAAAGCAGAGACAAACTCATAGATACAGAGAACATTTTGAGGTTTACCAAATAGGAGGTGAGCTGGGGGGTGCTAGGTGAAAAAGGGTAAGGAATTAAGAAGTACAATTGGTATTACAAAATAGTCACAGGGATGTAAGGTATAACATAAGGAATATAGTCAATAATATTGTAATAACTGCTTATAGTGTCAGAAGGGGACTAGATTTATCAGGGTGATCACTTCATACGTTACATAAATGTCTAATCACTATATTGTACACCTGAAACTAATGTAATACTGTATGTCAACTGAAAATAAAAATTCTTTTAAAAAGTATACCTGTCACTTAAGAAGTTTATGGGTATCAGTTAGTTCTCCAAAACCAAATTATTTAATATTTTGAATGCTTGGGGGTGGGGCAGGAGAGGGTAGAAAGCACAGTACACAAGTACTTAAATATGTAATAAAGCCCTTCTATCACATAGAAGATGAGGATTATTTCAAAAGGTACTTATAAAAATATATACCATTTTAAAAATTAAGAGAAACAAGGTTCTATATTGTGACTATTAATAAACACTTGGAAAGGGAAGCCTTCAAAAACATAATAGTTATTTTTCTGGTATGGAGCCAAAATGGTCTAATTTGATGTAAACATTAATATTCTTTATTATTCTATATATTTTTTTGTAATTATGAAAGACATACATCCTTAATGTAGAAAACTTGGAAAGAAAAAGTCACAAGAAAAGTAATTCATTATTCTACCAACTTTCTAATATGCAAAACAAAAACATTATATGGTATATAGTCCATCCCAGGGAGCTTATTAATTCCGTAATATGCCAAAAACATAAGAGGGTAAAACTTTGCTGTTCCAGTCTTAGTTTCAGAATTCGTTTTTAGAAATACTATTCCATTTTTCCTAACCCAGATAATGTTAATCCCTTCATATCAAACAAGATGATTAAAGTATTATAATTATAACTACATCTTAAAATCAGAGTCCACAATACAACTGGATGCCCAATCTACTTCTGTTGTGGTTTCTGAATCCTTCCACTTAAGTCACATATAACCTGGACAACAAATCATTTAAAGTTTCTCATATTGTTCCATGACCTCAAATCTAGATCCTGTCATACTTTATTTCTCACAGGAAGGGTCAGTGAAAGAAAAGGTTAATTTGATACTTCTTTCAGCCCCATTATTGCCACTGTGCTTCCTCTTCTTAAGAGAGAATGCCTTTTGTCTTCCAGCGCCCTTAGTGACCTGATCCTCATTGTACACTGGGTCCTTACTATTTCCCTAACAAAGGTACCTGTAATAAGATATGGAGGTTCAGAGTGGATTCTCTGTACTCCCTCTTCGTAGGTGCCAGATTGATGAATTAGGGAACTTCTTAGCAAAATAAGTCAGCTCTGTGTGCAGTCACCATTCAGATGCACTAATTAAGCATGGTAGTATGTGGCAGTCTTTTACATAATAGTAACTGAACATTTTGAGGGACTCGATGTATCTACTTGCATGCCAGGCCCCGTGCTACAGACTTTACCTATATCTAGCTAATCTTCATGGCAAGCCTATGAGGTACTACCTGACTCCTTTTACAATTACCAAAGCTCAAGCCAGGACGAGCACCTTGCTCTAAGGGTCACAGGAATGCTGCAGAGCTAGTGTCCCAACCAGGAGTGTCTAACCCAGAGTCCCATCATCAGCTCATCCTGTAGACACAACCTACATTCAGGGTTTGTATCAGAAATGTGTGCGGTTGTCAGTGGGTCTTATTTGTTCTCCAAATACCTCTAGAAAAGACTAGCCCATCGCTTCTCGGCCTTTTGGCTAAGATCAAGTGAAGACTAGCCCAGGCTGCCTCGTGGTGGGTCCTGCTGCCAAGGACAGGTAAGGACCAGATGATGCCAGGGGCTAGGGCAGAGCAGCAATGGGCCCACTGTGACCTCCATCACCAGGGAGGGCAGCCAGAGTAGATGCCAGTGGTGGTGGTGATGGTGAATAGAGTGAAGAAATAAAATGGAGTCACTATAAGGGCCGGCCGAGTGGCTCAGTTGGTTAAGAGCTCACCCAAGAGTTTGAGCTCTGAGCAACAGCGGTTCGAGTCCAGCCCGAGCTGAGCAGCCGCTGAGCTGCCAACAGGTAGCAGGATGGCTCAGCTAAA